ATAACATAACAGAAGTGGCAACTGGTAACTAATTAATAGTTTCTCAAGAGAAGGCCAAAATGGGAAACGTATGGAAAAGTTATAGGTAGGCTTGATCGTTGAAAGTTCAAATCTAAAAGAGGCCAATGGTAGATTCAATGCATGTTTTGGATTTGAGTGGTAAAATATGGACTTTCATTACTTAAGCGTGTTGATTAGCACTTAGCAGTGTTTTAATCTTTTTATACAATATATATATATATATATATATATATATATATATATATATATATATATATATATATATATATATATATATATATATATATATATATATATATATATATATATATTCCAGATTGGTCTTTCTAATTCCACGCAAATGAGTTTTGAAAGGTCACTTAATCACTAGTCTTTCAATACATAAATAAAAGACTTGCAAATGAGCCATGGTTCCATTATTCATTAAAAAGGAATTATCTTTTTATATAATTAATAGGTTATTGAATAATTTTTAATTAGAAATAATCAAAACTTTCGTTAAAAAAATATAAAGTTATTGTTGATGTGTCTGTGGATACCACTTTTGAAAGAGTGTGGGTAATGTAACGATGCGGAGGTAATTGCAAAAACTGATCTGATACAGGTGAAAGACAGTGCAACGCTAGCTACTGCTATGAATGGCATAAGAAAGCTCATACTTTTAGCGAATCACCGATCAATGTGCTATGAACACTTATGGAAAGTCCACCTCATACCACCAATTAACACCATTGATGTTGATACCAAAAGGGTTCATTTTTATGAACTTTATGAAACTTCGTTGCATCTTCCCTAGAAACACTTTACTTGTAATATATCCAAACATCAAATCTTTTGGCTTATTCAAATAAACTTGAGGAATATTGATCGAAGAATATATTGTTCTTTGAGATATATTCTTTTTGAATGGAAGACAATATATAATTCTCACCCAACAAGATAAAACTTTCCAGATCGATCCTTTGATTCTGCATGTTGAGTGGTATGGATTAATGGTGGGTGGTTTTATAAGGTTCTATTCGTTTAAACTATTTGTCTTCTTTTTTCATTTTCCATTTATGGATGCCATGATCGTTTCTTCTTATATCAAGATTATATATTTATTTCTTTTAATACCATATGGATGATATATACACATAGAATATATGAAATTAAAACTTAATCAATTAATGTCCTTCACCTTTTTTATTATATAAATTGATGGACCAAAAACATAAGTGGAAATATCACCTCCTTTTTATAATATATGTACAAACTAATGAAGATACTCACTAAAAATGTCATGTTTTAACAAATCACTATATGCATGGAAAGAAATTAGTATATAAAACAAACGCATAAAGAGGGAGCAGTTCATTAATGAAAAAATATAAAAGTTGGTGGCATTATGTACATGTGAATTCTGTATAAAATAGTGATATTAAATATGAAAACGAACAAACAAAATTGAAGCAATGAATCGACCGAGACTCTGTTTGATACAAGTTCCTGAAAAGAAATTTGCCTCGCTATCAGCCGTTTGTTTTTTAGTGTTTTTCAGGATACAATAGTAAAAACGATTTTTCGAAAATATGAGGAATTAATTTAAGATCTAAAAGTATAATAAGAGGGGACAATGATGATGAAATCTCATGTCATAGTTTGCTATTTCACTTTTAAGATCTTTGATTGAAATTATCAAAGAAGGGAAAATTAATTTATGTGATTGTGGAGCATGTGGCCAGACATGATAATTTGAATGGTTCACATGAGTTCTGAAAAAAGTGTCCTTTTTCTTGGTTTGGGTTTAGTGGGTGATTACTGATATAATTCTTAAAGTAATCTTCAACTAATTAATTTTATCTTCATACATCATGCACAAAGCATTAAGCATGCACTCGATCTATAACTTTATTTCCTTTATAAGATCAAGATTAATAACTTTTTATCATGATCTTTGTTGTTTTGAAGGTTATTGGAATTAACGGAATGTATGAACACCGAGACTCATGTTTATTTGAATAAAAAATTAAACAGAGAAATTAATCATGGAACAAGGGAATTGTCTTATTAGTTGAAAATTAATGGTGGATGTTGAGAGTTCTAATTAAATAAAAGTATCAATTTATTCAATCATTTCTTTAAGAAAAACTAGAAGAGAAAGACAAAGACTTGTCTTTTCTATGTGATTGGAACTAGAAGGTCCTTTTATGTTTTGTAAAAGTACAGTGACCTCCCCTTGGATCTATTCGAATTTCAATTTCCACCCTCCATTTTTTATTTTATTGCAAGTAGGTGCTCCTTTAATGTTGGGCATGCTTGTGTGAGGTGATGATCATGTCGCTCACAAACTTAAACCTATAAAGTATAAACCATGGTGGTGGTTGGTGTTTCTTTCTTCTTTACATGTCTGATCCATGTCTCTTCATCACCTCAAGCACAACCACCACCACCACCACCATATGGTGGTGATGGTAGTGGTGGTAAGTCCATCTTCTTCATCTCTCTCCTTGATTTCTATGCTCTCTGAGAAACTTTACATCATGCGCTTGTTTCTTTTCTCTTAATCAAGGTTGAATTCCTTTAGCTCTTTGATTAATTAGTCATGAATATTATTTTAGAATGGTTATCGTGTGTGTAAACATTCCGAATTGTTCTCAAACTTTGGTTTTTGTATGATTAAGTCCACTTAAAAACATAGAATCAGTTTATATATCTATCGGTTTTCTTTATATAGTTTCGTATACATGTTTTGTACATGTTCTTCATTCTTCATTTTATGGGGTTCATCAAACTTATTTTCACACAAAGTAACTAAAAATTATTGAACAAAGTTTGTGTGTGCGTGTGCGTGTGCGAGTGGGGTGAGGGGTAAAATAGTCTTTTCCAGCTTGATGTATTTATTGGTCATCTAATTCTAGTAATAAGATAACAATAACGAAAGAAAATAAAAGATCAGGTATAGTCATTCGTCATGTTTGATAGACGTATACATCCCACTTTTGTAAGTGGACACTTTTTTTTTAATATATTTTATCGGTGACGTACATGTGATCACAATTACCTGTTCCAAAAATACTGGATGGAAAGGGAAGTGTACCTTATGACGTTTCTTTTTCTTTATGTCAGCAACGTTATAAATTGTTTTAATATATCAATGTCAAATAAAACTTTTCAATTAGGCAATATATACCGACCTTGTGTAATCGAATAATCTAAGTATATTCTTCTCGGTGTTAAAAAAAGTGTGCATGGATTGAAAAAAAAAAAAAAAAACTAATTAAAACGGTTGATTTGCTTTATTGCAACTAGAATATCTAACATGCATGTCAGTTTCTCAGTGAAATGCGAGAATTTGTCACAATGAATACCAACAATGACTCAAAAGATTGAAGGAAATTCAACTGCTAAAGAGTTTATATATGTCATTGCAAATGAAAATTGGCCACCATGAAAGTGAAAATTGACAGGTTAGAAGAAAAGTAAAAGAAAAAGAAACAAAGTTGATGAAAAGAAAGGTTGTAAGCAACTTTTGGGCAATGTGAATGTGAATGTGATCTTTGAATAGGTGACCCGTTATTGTTGCTCTTTTTATACGGGATACTATCATCTCTACTCTCTAGTCTCTACTATAACCACTTAACAGCCTATTCCACTCACCAAAAAGAAACTGATCATAAAGCAAGTAAATCACATGTTATGTCTTTAACAGATTGTAGAAGGAAATGCACAATGCAATGTGAAAATCTAAGACTTGAAAGTTTTGGTGTAGACATATATTATCACAATGAAGCTTTAGGGTACTTTGAGTGTGTAATCGTGTCATTTAAATGAAAGAAACAAAAGAAAAACAAACCTGACATCGTCTTAATTAAGCATCTCTATCATCCATTTCATCAGGAATGGACGCATCAGCTCTAACAACAGACCATTTAATTCGAATTCCTCCATTACAATCTTCTCAAAGAAGCTCCATGAAACCTCTTCTCTCTCAGGCTTTTTATCAAACACGTGGCGCGAACCCGAGAGAAAGATGCATCAGGGCAATTTTGGAATGCCAATGGCGATGCGTGTGGAAAATTACTATGTTATTTCGTTGCAAAATCAGTCAATCATCAATTTCACAATTGCTCCTCATGTTTATATCGTTCATTGATTCATGTTCTACGTACTTGATCTTTCAGCTAAGGATATAACAGAAATTCACAGATGACTTTTGGTATCTGAATCTTGATAACACCATCAAATAATCACGTCTAGCTTGAAGGATTTTGTTTTCAATGGATGCACAATCTTGTAGCGTGCTAAATGCATTTTGGTATATTATGTAGGAATGTGAATTATGTATCTCTCAAAATCAATATTTGGTCCAAAATCAACTACTCCTGATTCCACCTAGAAGCCCTTGATCGATCAATCCAGTTAATATAGCACGTATATCATTCCTACTGCCAAACGAATGATTCACAATCGAATACAAAATGTGTCAAAAAAAATTATTATTTTAATAAACATAGTTATTAACAGTTTATTTTTATTTTTTTTAAATACTTACTTAACACACGTTTAATAGAAAACATTTTCTCCAAATACAACCGCTTTTTCTTCACACCTTCACAAAAATCTTATTATGCTTCTGTGTTACTTGCATATTCGAAGCTTCTACAAATAAATAAATTCATATCTTCAAATTTAACAAAATTTATACAATTCTCATTCTAACATTTATTACCTATGCCCTATGGAATTCTCTTTGGTAAAATGGTTAGTTGGTTAAGTTTTCTTTTGGCCCAACTAGGCTCAATGTTAATGGAGCTCAAAGTGATTGGATCCATAACTTCGGCCCAGTCGTAGTTTGACTTAAGAATTCGGATTTCAGACCCACAGCCACGTATACAACCTGCAAAGTTACAAATATACCCATAACACACAGTCGACAACAGATATCAAGAAGGGTATTTTGGGTACGCAATAAATACCCAAATTTAATCAGCCCATTACTCCTCTCCATCCCTCCAGATCTACTCCCACAATCAACACGCCTCCTCTCCTCTCTTCTCATACAAGAGTATCACTCTCTACAAAAACCTATAAATCATCATCTCTTCCTATAAAACATCCCCTTTTCAAAATTTCACCGCTAATTCTACAACCTTTTTGCTCAAATTTCACCGATTTCGCTCCTATTCTCGTATTGATTTAGCTATCCGTTGAGAATTTCAAGAAACCCCAAGTGAGTGACATCTCGCAAATCATTTCTTAGGTTCTTTCCATTCTTATGAAATTCAAGATTTCTAGACCTATTAATGGTTTGAAGTTGATCTTGAAGCTCGTCATCTTGTTCCCAGATTCGTAAAACCTAGTTCGTCGATCAGTTTCATAAAAAAATTATTGTAAAACGAAGTCAAATGATTGTTTAGTTAGTTCTTTATTCATGGGTATTTCAAGATTTTGAGTTTGATTTTGTTTTCGATTGAAGAGGTGTGGGACGATTTGGCATAAGAAAAGAGATTCATGGCAGATCAAATGCTGGAGGGTAGCCAACCAGTTGATCTTACTAAGCATCCATCTGGAATTGTTCCTACTCTTCAGTACGTCGTATTTCGATTCAGATTCTTATTATTGTTATAGAGGACGATTGAATGTATTTAGTCAAGTAAAACTGTTGTAAGATCTCTACAGGATGAACCATTTCTGATCTTAACCATCTTATTATCTAATCAATGCCCATAGAAATTGTTCAATTTTAGAATTCCAGGTTTCATATGATTGTTTGTATGTAGTTTTTGGTTTGTGAATCTGTTGGGTATGTAACTATGTACGCAATTATTACTTGAAAATACGAAAGTGTTAACTAAAAAATATATGCATCCATATATATAATCTTTGAACTGAAAGTTTTAGCATCTGTATTCCTGTACATATAGGAACATCGTGTCTACTGTGAATCTGGATTGCAAGCTAGACCTGAAAGCAATTGCACTTCAAGCTCGAAATGCAGAATATAATCCAAAGGTATTATCAATTTATCATCATGTTAGCCACTTAAAGAATGCAATGTATATATGGATGAAATAATATTTAGGAAAAGTTGTGGAACTTTAAAGGATACTAGATTTGTTGGTGGCATGCATAAGTTATAGGAGATTTTAGAAAAAGGTGATATATTTATATTTCTATTATATTGTTATTCAGCGTTTTGCTGCTGTTATCATGAGGATAAGAGAACCAAAAACAACAGCTCTAATCTTTGCTTCTGGGAAGATGGTAACTTGTTTTTCACTTTTTTCCCTAAATCTAAAAATGCTTTTGAGTCGTTTTTTTAGCTAGACTTAATGTGTTGCTGCCTGCTTCAGGTTTGTACAGGAGCCAAAAGTGAACAGCAGTCAAAACTGGCTGCACGCAAGGTATTTTAAGAGTGTATTATATGAATATAACTTTTATGCCATAAGCATAAAATGTAACACTACTCTTAATTTTTTTTATTATAATCTTTGCCTAATGTTGGTGCTTTAGTATGCTCGAATAATTCAAAAACTCGGGTTTCCAGCCAAGTTTAAGGTATTCATCATCATCATCATCATCATCTTCATCTTATAAGTCTCTGGTTTTAAGTTAATGTTTCATTTATATTTTATGTTCTTGTATCTTTTTCTGTTTTTTAATATAGGATTTCAAGATTCAGAACATTGTTGGGTCATGTGATGTTAAATTTCCCATTAGACTTGAAGGCCTTGCATACTCTCATGGTGCCTTTTCAAGTGTAAGATTGATAATATAAATTTTCCCTCTTTGAGAAAAAGACAAATTTAGCCACTATTTCGTATGTTCCTCTAGTAACATGTGATTGATTGTTAATATAGTATGAACCAGAGCTGTTCCCGGGATTGATTTATCGAATGAAACAACCGAAAATTGTTCTGCTTATCTTTGTTTCTGGGAAAATTGTTCTTACTGGAGCTAAGGTCATTTTTTCTTTTTTCATATTTAATTACCCTTTCTGAATCCTTAATCATTATATTACTATATTATTGTTTGTTTTCAGGTTAGGGATGAGACTTACACTGCATTTGAGAACATATACCCTGTGTTGACTGAATTTAGGAAAAACCAACAATGGTAACATAATACTTTACTAATTAATTTCTATTTCGTGGTATCATTAATCTTTTCAAATGGAAATGTCATGTTATTTTGATTCCAGATCTATCATGGAATATGGATACATACAACCGAATGGTGTTTTATGGGTGAGAAAGGGCTTGGGTTGGCCTTTGAGTTCGAACACAAGTGTAAATATATATTATATAATATGTAATGGGAATCTTTTTTTTTTTTTGAAGTTTTGACTTGTTTAAGTGTGAACTTGGAATGGACAGTTAAGCTTTGGACTTGGTCTTTACTTAGTAAATTCAATCCTTTTAATTTGGATTTAAGAAATAAAAAACATGTATGTGGTTGTGGGATGGATAAATGAAACGCGTATCAAAATAGAATAATCTCATGTTCAAAAAATAATTTTATAAAAAACGAGGGATGTGAATTGTAACATTGTACTAATTTATATTTGGTTTATGGCATGCATTATGCATGTTAATGTGTGGATTTTCATTTTGATTTTTATTGGAAGATACTTATATCGTGGGACACAAATTAATGTATTATGATTGAAAGTATACAGGGTTGCTGTTTAAGCATACATTTTGATTGATTTTTATGTTGAATGTTTTAACATTGTATCGATTAGTTATTGTATTTCAACAAGAAGTTTCTTCATACATCTTAAATAATCTATTCAAATTATATTTAATCTTTAGTGGATTAAAAGGGTAATATGAAAATTTACCAAGAAAGAAAACAAGTTAAATGTTTGGTTCAGATCATCCAAAATATATCTTTTAGCGTATATAATGCTCTACAATCATTGAATTAAAAGGGGTAAGATTGTTGCGTTATATTATATATTTTGTAAGCATATTGAGCATAAATTACTTGAAAGAAAACAAGAAATCACTGGAATAGGATGTTTCAAATAAGGATCTGCAAATAGGGTGGGGTTGTGGGAGCCAACCCCAACCCTCCCATTCCCATTGATAGCTCAAAATCCCACGAAATCTCATGAGATGTTCGGTAAATTGTATTGCATGTTGTTTTAATCTACAAAATTGCAAAAGTATTTTACGTGGTTAAAGTCTAAACCTTTAAAAAGTTGCATATTTTGTCATTTTCAACACCACAACCCATTGTCTCTTCATCTTTAGTAAGTTGTGTTGTTGGTTCGCCAGAGTTGAAGGACTAAAAAAAAAGAACGATAAAGACGTCAATATCACTAAAGATGGAAATCAAATAGAAGTTGAGGAGAATAAGGGATTGGATGGTGACCGGTGAGACCCAGGTTAAATTTCTCAAATGTGGTTTCAGGTTTATGGTGAGGAGATACAAATATGTAGGATCTATTAAATTTTTTTAAATATATAAAAAAATAAATACATAATGAATAAAATTAATTAAAATATAAATTAATAAGAGCACAATAGTCTTTTTAGGTAAGACGGTGACCAAACGCGAAACAAAAAAACAATAGGAACCATCCGAGTTTTAAAAAAAAATAAGTTAGGGACCAAACGCATAAATTTTCCCAAACCACAAGGACCATTCGTGTAATTTACTTTTACTTTTCGTGTTGTTGATACTTAGGTAACTATTTTTTTATACACATCTAGATAACAAACTTGTTAAAAGTATTCGCATATGATCATTATAACCGAATATAACCTGTTACAGGAAATCATAATGGTCATATGTAAACACTTCCAACAAATTTGTTACCTAAATGTGTACAAAAAAAAATAGTTACCTAGATATGAACAAACTGAAATTTTAATTACCTTAATAAATCATATCTCTATTCTAATAAAAGAATAGTTTTATTCTTCTTTTAATATGTATCACCATATTAGGCCTTATAATTAATGCATATTTTATTTTTCTTTTGTCATGTGTCACTCTATTTTATGTCTCCTAATTAATACATGTCACTTGTCAATCTATTGATTCTTCATTTCAAATTTCAAATTTTAAATTTACCACTCTAATTACATTAAATTAATAACATTAAAATAAAATTAACGCAAATTATAAAGTGATATAATTTTGCATATTTATTTAAATCAATGATTATAAATTTATATAACTAAAAAAATCTCTTACTTAATACTTTATTTAAAATAAATGAATTACAATTTTGAGTTTTTACTATTAAAGTTTAATTAATTTTATAACTGTGGTTCCCACGGGTTTTTACTATTAAAGTTTAATTAAAGTTTAATCAATTTTCGACACATATGATTTCTCAAAAAATAGACAATAGCAATATATTTACGGTGTGTTTAGGATTACTTTTTAAAATTAAAAATCATTGTAAAAGAACTTTTTCTAAAAGAATGTTTTTAAAATGTGTTTGGTTTGACTTTTAAGACTTTTAAGTGTCGAAAGCTAAAAGTTATAAAAAGATATGAATTCGTGTCTTTTGTCTAGCCAACTTTTCCTTCTTAGCTAAAAATTGACTTTAAAATCACTTTTCAATTTACCAAACAATTTTGGCTGATTTTAACTGTTTGAAAAAGTTAAAAGTCAAAAAATTCATTGAAAATGAATCTCAAACACCCTCTTATACTATTAAAACAACTATAATTAAATTAGTTTTATAATATATGAATGTTAGGTTGGTGTCTGTTTGCCTTCCATCTTCCATCTCAATGTAATTGAAACGTTGTTTGAGATTATAAATCAAATACGAAATATATGATTAGTGTTATGAAATATTAGTTTGTGAATGACCATTGGATTCTCCATTTCTCCTATAACTCTCCATCATTATTTAGCATTAGTAACAACCATTTCAATGTGTTTTATGAATGTAATAATACACCATCATAATGTGCATTCATATTATAGTTCATCTTTCTTTTTATTTGGATAGTATAAATGGTGAGCCATATGTATTAGAAACAAGATGAATTCATCACAAGTATTTGAATAAAAGTTCTTTCTACTCTCATATCTTTCTTTACTCTATAATTTATATTGTTATTTGATCATATTTTATAACACGTTATCAGCACGACTCTACCATAAAGCTATAACTCCTTATTGTTCTTGTCATTTTCAGGTATGTATTTTTTATAATTTTATATGTACAATGCTTACAACTTATTTTATGGAATTTCTTAACTAACAATTCCTTAACATACAAGTCTTTATTTTGATTTTTATTTTCATTATGAAAAACTATGTTATGCTAGAGAAAATTTTCTCTACTTTCCAAGCCACCAACATGCTCCTGCAGCAGTAATATCACGAGAAAGATTTAAAAAGAATATATTATGAATTAATCTCATTTCTTCTTGTGGCTGAATAAAACTATGAACTATTGATGAAAAATCACCAATCAATCCCGACCGATCCTAGTGTATTCCCTGAAGTGAATGCAATATCATATAATCATAATAGTCATGGGTATAATCGAGGTTGTGGAGATTATTATCATAAAAAATAACAAGATTACAAGCAACCACCAGAAGTTGGAAAATAGCAAAAATCCACATCCTAATGATAAAGTGGTGAAGGCCAAAACAAAATAAAGTTGAAAATGTTTGTCATTGATGTGGAATGACCGATCATTGGTCTTGTACTTTCCGCTTATCAAAGCATTTTGTTGATCTTTATCAAACTTATCTAAAATCTAAAGAAAAATAAAATATCAAAACAAATTTTATTCAAAGTGATATTCATGAAGATCAACCAGAATGACACATTTGGATGTTGCTGATTTTCTTGTCTACCCTGAAGGGACAAGTGGTGATATGGATGGTGATTGATCAGAATAATGTGTAGTTTTGTTTCATGACATTTATTATGTTTTTATGTCATATTCGTTTCATGAGAAATGATGTCGTCACAATCTTCTCAAATTAATAAAATATGAATTTATTTCTCTAAGTCGAATGTTTCTTATGTTTTATTTATTTATTGAAAAGAAACATGGATATTCGCAAAAGAAATAATGAAGATATATTTCTTGGTGACAATGCAATAACACATAGCATTTTTAATAATGAAAAGTATTTTGCTTACTTATCAATTAGAGAAGCAAATGTTAATATAATAACAGGTAATGCAAAAATGATTGAAGGCTCCGGAAGAGCGAATATAATATTACAACAAGGGACACTAATTACAAATTAGTGACGCATTATTTTCGTCTAAATCACCAAGATTGAAGGCTCCGAAAGAGCGAATATAGTATTACCACAAGTGACAATAATTACAATTGGTGATGTATTATTTTTATTAAAATCACCAAGAAATTTATTAAGTTTTAAGGATATTCGGTCCAACGGATATCATGTTGAAACAACCAATGATGGTGATGAAGAGTATCTCAATATTACGAAAATGATATCGGGTAAGAAAAGTCTTTTGGAAAAATTACCCGTATTGTCCTCCGGATTGTATTATACAAATATTAGAATGATTGAATCTCATGCTATTGAAAATAAAAGGTATGATAACATCTACAAAGTTTGGCATGACCGGTTGGGCCATCCCGGATCAGTTATGATGCGCAAAATAATTGAAAGTTCAAGTGGACATTCCTTGAAAAACCAGAAGATTTTTCAAGCTAATGAATTGTCTTGTGTTGCATGTTCTCAAGGAAAATTAATTTCCCGTCCATCATTGAATAAAGTTGGGTATGAAAGTCCTAGTTTTTTAGAAAGAATTCAAGGGGATATATGTGGACCAATTCATCCACCATGTGGACCATTTAGATATTTTATGGTCTTAATTGACGCGTCAACTAGATGGTCACATGTGTGCTTATTATCTAGCCGTAATCTCGCTTTCGCAAGATTACTAGCACAAATAATCCGCCTAAGGGCACATTTTCCCGATTACCCAATTAAGAAAATTCGACTTGACAATGCTGGGGAATTTACATCACAAGCTTTTAATGACTATTGCATGTCGATTGGGATAACTATTGAACATCCTGTTGCATATGTTCATACACAAAATGGTTTAGCTGAGTCGTTAATCAAACGCCTTCAATTAATTGCAAGACCATTACTAATGCATTCTAAACTTCCTACATCGACATGGGGACATGCAATTTTACATGCGGCATCACTTATACGCATCAGGCCAACTAGTTATCATAAGTTCTCCCCTATTCAACTGGTTTGCGGCCATGTACCAAATATTTCCCATCTAAGGACGTTCGGATGTGCAATTTATGTACCCATTTCTCCACCTCACCGCACGAAAATGGGTCCTCAAAGAAGAATGGGAATTTATGTTGGATACGAATCTCCATCTATAGTAAAATATTTAGAACCATCAACTGGAGATTTATTTACAGCTAGATTTGACGATTGTCATTTTGATGAATCAGTTTTTCCAACATTAGGGGGAGAAATAAAGAAGATGGAGAATAAAATCTCTTGGAATGAATTATCACTTTCAGTGTTAGATCCTCG